CAGGGTGAGAGAGTCCTAAAAGGTTTCTTGCCTTTGAAAAATGGCATGTCAGTTACATCAGGTCTTAGCCAAAGTTGGTTGACTCAGCATTGCATACGAGACTTTGGGTGATTGCCCAGGTATTCAGTTGTCTCTTCCATTCATTGCACATTTCGGAAGTTTCCCGCTTGTACTTCCGGGCTGTTTGAGTAAAATTATTTTCCTTTTCAGATCTTTGATGGAGTTGAAGATTAGATAGTTGTAGTTACCATCTACATTATTTAGACTCCCTGAGATAGAATGTTTAGTAAAACTTTTGTTATATGTTTCTTGCTTAATATTGTTTGTTGTTTGTAACTTTTATATTTATTATTTGCTTTCATTGTAATAGTTGTATTTGGTTTGGTTCTGTCTTATTTTAGAAAAAAGGGGAGATGATAGGGGAGTTCAGCCAACCACATTCTGTTTGTGGGGCGTGTCGCCCTTAGGCTAAAGTTTACCTATAAACCTGGCATGTACGCTCCCGCTAGCTCTCTCTCGCCTGGCTCCTGCGTCTGGACGGATAGTTTGGATTCTGGTGTAAGCTGCTGTAAGTCTTCATTCTGTTTATTAAAGCTGTATATTTTGTATTAAGATAGTTTGGGGACTTTTCATTACCGATCGCCCTGTGGCATCAATTAAAATTACTAATTTTCATTTATGTTTACATTTATATATCATATATTTTCTTCCCCAATTTGAAAAAAAATGAACTTAATTCTTAGAGTAAGGGAGATGGCTTTAATATGGATTTTCCCCTTAATGCATACTGGGAAAATGCATTCAACTGTGCTAAGAATTAGTCATCCTAGTGCAAAAGAGAAAGAGCCCTCACATGCTAATTTCCACTCACCTCTTTGGTATTCAGCCATGCTAAGTACTTCTTCAATCAAGGGACTGATTGGCTTGCTCACAGTTCAGCTTAGTAATGCATACGCTGGCATGAAAACTGGATCCCAAATCATTGCAGCTTGACATTGGGTAAAATAAAACATGAATTCGTGTTTGGTCTCCTCAGGAGCATTTATGAAATTGGCTTTTGCGGGACAGCCTGTGCAAACATCACCTTTGTTCAAATGAATACCAAATTTCTTCATAAAGAAAATAATTTAGTGTTTAATTGTCTACTATATCATGTAGTCGCAACCTACCAGGACAGGGGTTTCTGTTCAGTTCCTTCACTTGGAAGGGTAGCTTCAGAAGCGTAGGGGTTGAGGGAACAACTCTCAGAGCGATGGTCCTCAGTTTTCCTGCTGCTGCAACCCTTTAATAGACAGCTCCTCATGTTGTGGTGAACCCCAACCTTAAAAGTATTCCACTGCTATTTCATATCTGTAATTCTGCTACTGTTGTATATTGCAGTGTAAATATCTGATATGCAGGATACCTGATATGTGACTCCTATGAAAGAATCCTGTGACCCAAAAGGGTCTCAACCTGAGGTTGAAAACCTCTGTCTGAGAGACCTGAGAAAACCATAGGATGTGGAGGTCTTGTCTTTTCTGCTGAGGTTCTTCTGGCACTTTCAAAGAGTATGGGAAACTCTTCCAGAAACAAGGAAATTCGGAGCTAGGTAGTGAACCAAGGAATATTCCCGGAGCTGTTTCTGTCTCACAGGCAGTGCTCCAAGTCCCTCTGTGTTGCCCCTGAAGTTGGGAGTTCCCTCTCTAGGAAGCCATGTTAAGAAGAGAAAAAAAGAAACAGTATGACATGTATGTAGGTGGGTGTGTAGGTGTATAAGTGTACGCAAGTGTATGCATGCAAAAATAATTCCTTACATTTGTATTATTTTCATTCATTTATAGTCTGATAGTCATAATGCTGACACATATTTCAAACTCAAGACATGCAACACATATAGAAGATGTGTTTTTTTCCATTTATAGACTTCTGTTTTTAGCACGTTGTCTGGGTTTTGTGTTGGGATGGAATGACCAACATGATCTGTGCTTGGCCAAGATGAATAGCGTCAGTGCTAACCCTTGGAAGCAGAGCAGAGCAGCTACAAACAAATGTCTGTAGCTGATCCCTGGCAAAACGAAGCCCTCCCTCCTACTGGTTAGTGAAGCAACCGAATTTCTTCCCAATCATAGCCTATGCCAGTAAGAGCCTTTGCTTGCTAAGTCTTTTCTGTAGAGTAGATAAAATATTTATGTTGTTTATATATTAATATATATTTTAATTATCATAAATAAAAGATCTTATCTATAGATGAGTATCTGTTATTTGGAACCGCATACTAACACATGGCAAAAACTCTGTCGAGTGATCCTTCACCCCAACCCCCACCCTCCCCATATGCCCACTCACTACGTGTTCATTCTGTTCAAGAGCAACTCACTCTCACAACTAGAATACAGGGAATGTCTGGCCGCAGGGAATGTCATGTAAACATTTCTTCTTGTGGCTTCTGGAGGGCTCTTTGTTCCACTTCTACGAATCATTGCTTTTAACCTAGAATTACGAGTAGGGGAAGACAGGGACGTGAGTCGCACTGGAAGGTAAAGGCCTAGGACCTTTTTCTAAATAAGATAGATCGTACAGCAGTGCTTACGGAGAGCTCAGGAAACCCCAGGAATGGAGAGAAGGGGATTGGATGCTAAGAAAGGGGCACAGTGTGCAGGAAGTCAGGCGGCAGCAGCAGTAACTGTCGTCTGCAGGGCTAACGCTCCTGAGCAGGAAGCAGCTTGAACAAGACAGATGACAACTTAACTTGGCAAAGGTGTCTCTAATGTTCATTTAAAAACATAGGAAACAGAACTCAGCAGAGAAACACATAATGCGCGCAGTATGCTATTCTTGCACGTATGAACTTCTGGGCCATTTTCAGCGAGCAATTTGCATGATATCACTTTTGTGGATCCAAAGCACTGTGTTTGTTGTCTTTAAACTTGGGCGACTACCTCTAGGAGAGAACATTTGTTTGCAAATATCAAATATAACCTTGAGGAAAGCACCCATTTCTTCACCCACACGCCAACCGTGAAGGTGCCATTTGCAGGCCCGTGTGCTCCTGCCTTTAAGAACAACGACTGAACTAGAGGTGAATTAGTTGGGTGTTCACTGCAATGTTAGAAATGGTGTGATATTTGCAGAGGTGATATGTCGTTGATTCTTATGGTAACAGAACTTCAACTGCAGGCAGGCTGGATCTGCCTTTGATGATCTGTTTTTGATATTAATTTTTTAAGCGTTGGTAATATTAGAGACAAGTCAAACTGAAAACTATCACAATAACAATTACAGTTTCATTTGGCCTTCTTATTTCTCCTGTATTGGTCTGGTCCCTGTTGTTCCAGCATCTCCCTGTGCTAGAGTGATTTTACCCTGTTGACTGGTACGCAATACAAACCCTTTTATTCCTCAGCTTTCTTTTCTTGCCTCCTCCTCCTCTCTCCTTCCTCCACCAAGCTTTCTTTTATAATTTTCACACAGAAAGCTCCATGTCCATCTGGTCCATTCTTTATCAGGGTTTGGGATATAGCAAGTGCTCTCCTGTTGCTTAGCAATGCTCTTTCTCTGGACCGATCTGCCTTCATCTCTCAGTCTATCTTTCCTGGATAGACTATTAGTAGTGGAAGGGCATCATTGTTTTCCAGGAAGACAAATCAGCAATGCATTATCCATGTTCTGTTCTAACCATGCTCCTGACATGACCTGAAGCAGCGCTTGCAATAGACAGACTTGGCTGGACCCACAGAATAAGACTCCAGAAGAAAGTTTGGGAAACTTCCTTCAGCTCAGTTGTGTTAAGGGATTAGGTATTTCTATGATAGTCCCAAATATCTTCCTATACTTCTTACACAAAATCTGTATGACTCAGAAAAGCCAATACAGATGATTTCATTTGAAATATAGCATCCTTATTGATGCAGGAACTGTGGAGTTTCTCCGGAAGCTGTACAGAGGGTTAAGGTTAGAGGGGTAAGCAGGTACCTAACAATACAAAGACCAGTGCAGGAATTTTTGCCGTAACAGTATAAAGACTTGGTGACCAGTGTTCAAAGGAAAGAAGTCCAGATTCTTGCATACTTTCCTCATCTAATTGCTGCTCATGCATTTATCTGTGGTTGGAACTGAGCACAGGATACTCAAGTGTTGACTGAAAAGGATAAAATGTAGAGATAGCAAAAAGAATCGATGACACTCATCTCATTCTTTCTCCATTTAACGATCAGAAATCACTTCAACACAGCTTTGCTAGGACTTCAGCTCAACAGCAAAGAACTTGTTCTGGCAAATAAAAAATCATCGCCGTAGAAATGATTGTTGTACATTTTAGCAGAACTATGTCCCACCTGAGTATTTCCCAATTGCTGTTTTATTATTATTATTATTATTATTATTATTATTATTATTATTATTTTGCAATTTATGCATTTACCAAAGTGTGCCTACTGATGTTTTTTATTTACTACTGACACCATTTTGTTTTCAAAGACCCTTTTATCGCTATTGAAAACACCAGTCATTCCACTAGGTCTAGAGCACAGATGCTACCGCGTGTTATATGTTGTGCATTATGCATGCTCAGTCACCATCGTCTAGCTCCGATAAGCGGTCCTTTAATTGCTGAGGACATTTTTGAAAGTGCTCTGGTGACGCTGCTTATATTGATAGATGAGCAAGGTAAAGAGCACAGATTCTTTTCCAAACATCTGCCTCTGACTCTGGCTCAAACGAACCTTCCTCATCTTGCTCAGGTTAATTAGCTACCTCTTGTATCATGAAGGCCACATCTTCAAGGTGTCTTCGTCGCTCCGAGGTCATTTCAACAATGAACATTCATCACGTGTGGAGAACAACTATGCTGGCAGAGAGTAACTCACTTTAGCCCTAACTTGTACCCTGAATAGAAGATGAGACAGAGCTAGCTGAAGAGAAACCCTGGACATAAGTGCCCAGCTTTAACTACTCTATACTTTTTAGAGAAACATTGCTTACAATGAAGCTGACCGTAAACATATCTCTAAATGCTGCAGGTAGCCCTGCTGGAGAGCCCTGTGGAAGGACTTGCTTGGAAGAGAGAGATAACCAGTGGCTGGGGGTGACACTTTCCAGACAGCCGGGTGAAAATGGATCTATTGTGGTAGGTATTAAATGGGCCCGTCCATCAAGATTCTGGAATCAGACTTTCTAGGTGTGACCTTCACATGTTTGTTCTGCTTTTGTTTTATTCAGACTTGCGGGCATAGGTGGAAAAATATATATTACATGAGGACTGATAATAAGCTACCCAGTGGTGTTTGCTACGCGGTGCCTTCAGATTTGCGAACAGAACTGAGCAAAAAGATGGCCCCATGTTACCGAAGTAAGCATGGCATGATGTCGCTGGTTGGAGAGAATCCGTTAATCCCATAAATGGGAGGAGAAAGACCACTGACCCAAATCATCATGGCCAAACTAATTAAAACAAGCAATTAAATCAAGCTTTTTTACTTGTGTACACAGGTTGCCTCCCCCTAAGGCAGGGCTGGAGAGGCTCACGTGCAGAAAAGTGGCTAATAGGTAGATGAAGGGTGGTTGTGTCGCTAATCATCGGGGAGTATAGATAAAAATCCGGGAAGATTGATTCTTAGTTGATAGAATAGCTATGTACCAAAAAGATGAGAAGTATCCCCAAAGACGGTATGAGTTCAAATTAGTAGAATATTATGAAAGACTATGGGCGTGTCCCAAGATATGAAAATAGAAGGCCCACATCACTCAGCAGTCCCTAAAGGAATCTGAGAGTAAAGGATTCAAGGGTGGTTTATGTATGTGCATAGACACACAATAGAATGCCATGCAGCCTCACTAAACCCTGCCATTCGGGACACCAGAGATGAATATGAAGAATACCATAAGCCAGCCACAGGAACAACACACAATAATATGTGTGAAATCTGAAGACACCAAATACTGAGGTTAAGAGTGGAAAAGTGATTGGGGGTGTGGAAGGAAGAATAGGGTGAAGAGTGTCAATCAGAGCACATCGAGTTCCACTTTTGTGGGATAGATGGGTCTAGCAATGAGGGTTATATTTAATGTTACAGCTTGTTGTGGGACTTTGCCGAGAGGGTAGATTGCCATTGCTTTCTATACAGACAAAAAGTCACCACGAAGAAAGAGGTGTAGTAAGTTGCTTGAGTGAGTAGCTGTTCTACCATGTGAAGACACTGTTGGGCACCCCCAATCTATAAAGTGACTGAGAACTGGAAACCCAAAGCCAGAAGTATTACCTCTTAGGAGACATTGCAAAACCTTCCTCCGATGAGAAAGCAGAGGGGAAAATGCCTTTAATTGTGATTCAGGATGATACTTTGTATCTTAGTCCAGGAGAGCTGAATGGTGTGAATTTTGGCAATTATTATCGTTTTCAAAAGTGAAGTGCAAAATACAGATCCTAAGAGTCATGTCTGTGAAGACCTCTGAGAAAAATAAATTATGGAGATATGGATATCATTACCATGAAAATTGATCCTAAAAAAATTAGAAGACTGAGTTTAGAAGGGTCTTAGATTCAAGATCAGCCTGGGCTGCCCTCTAACTGTGTGTGTGTGTGTGTGTGTGTGTGTGTGTGTGTGTATGTGTGTGTATTCTCAATTTATCTAAATCAATATTTTATACTTTATTGTAGATTTTGTGAGAAAATTTGGAGAGCATTTTGCATCGTGTCAGGTTGGAATATCGAGTTTTCACACCCAGGTAGGAGCCCGATAGTAGCTCCAGGTACTGCACAGGGGTAGCAGTGTGATTCCAGGGGTTCTCTAGACTCAAAGTTGAGTAACAGTTGAGTAACATCTCTCAAGCTGTAGACTGTTATCACTGTATTTGTCCCGTTTAAAGTCCCATCTATAATTTTATAAAATTAATGTGCAAATGACTGATATACTACACAAGATCAACAAAAATCCACACTAAAATTATCACCTCCATTAAGGATTTAATGGACACCTGAAGTAACTAGTTATTTTGTTAATGTAAGAACTGAAAGCATCTACCCAATTATTACTAATTGAGGATGAAGAAAATACGTGAGTCTGTGTTTCATTAATATTGTGGTAGTAGCAAGGCTTAACAGCTTGATTGTACCCTTGAAAATCAGATATAAACCCAAACACTTGTTACCCAAAACTCCAAAACTCTAGAGTATTATATGTGAAGTCAGAATTATGTCCATTCCTCAGCTTAAAACATAAATGTTTCAGGTTCTCTCAAAAACCCATATATGTATGTGTGTGTGTGTGTGTGTGTGTGTGTGTATGTTTATTGAGACAGGGTTTCTCTGTAGCTTTGGAACCTGTTCTGGAACTAGCTCTTGTAGACCATGCTGGCCTCGAACTCACCCAGCCACATCACAATTTTATGAATGTTTTTAAACATTGTTTGGGTTGACTGCTTCTAGACATCTTTACAAATGCTTATAACAATTCTTCTTTCATTTATGGAAGTAACAATATTGAAAGTTCAGAATCACTTAGAAAATAAACTATATTTTAATTGGAGTTGATTGCTATGGTTTGTTATACAATAGAGACAGGGACCTGCTCTCTCTCCCTCCTTCCTAGTTGTGATTAAAATATGCCCTAAATTTCATAAGCCCTTTTATCATCTGGGCTGAAATTGTTAGGGACGCTATTCAGTGACTTTTGCAAACTGAAATAAATTAAGCCCCCATTTCCTCTCTGGTAGCACACGATTATCCTGGTAATGAACCCTAATGAATTACGCAGAGAGGATTGTCCTTCGTTGACCCACAGTGCCTTTGTCTCCAAAGCTTACTTTATTGTCTAACGTCCCTCCCTCCCTTTGGTGTTTGAAACCCACTAAGAAGTGCGAAGAGACTGCCAGGATTTTCCCTCTAAAATCTACGTTAGTGATTCTGGCTTTTTAACATCTGGTTTTAAATTAATGAAGTGCTGTCATTTCAGAGCTTCAGGGTCCAACTCATTTCCTAATGATGTACCTAGAATGTTGTAGGTTTCTGAGAGGTTTGGGGTGGTGAGATTTAATTTTCAAATGATGACGAGTTTTCTTTTACAGGATTTAATCGTGATGGGGGCCCCAGGATCGTCTTACTGGACTGGTTCCGTCTTTGTCTACAATATAACTACAAACACGTACAAGGCATTTTTAGACCTTCAGAATAAAGTAAAATTTGGAAGTTACTTAGGTACTGTAAAAATTTGAGAAACTCAGATTATTTGTGCCTTAGAAATATGTGCTATTCTAAGTATCCAGTTGTCCAGTAACGTCAGAACCTGTCTCAGTCAGGCAGAGAGGCAATTATGTTTTCATTAACTCCATATGCTATGCTGACATAGATGACTGCAGCCATCCCCACTATGATTTTATATAGGAACGATTGAAAGCTTACTGCGGAAGTCTGCCTCAGCCCTTCCTGTGAAGACAGGGTCCCACTGCGTAGTCCTGGTTGGCCTCGACTCTCAGAGATCTGCCTGCCTTTGCTGCCTGAATGCTGGAATTACAAATGTGGGTCACCACTCCTGGGTCCCTAGGAAGTTCTTAAACTAACTCTGTATTAGTTCACTTGTCTAAACACATGTCTATGAATGCATAATCATAAATTCTTAGACTATGAAATGAAAATCAATGGGCCTTAAAAAAGCATTGTAGATAAAGGAGAACATTAAGTATATATTCTAAAAATTATTTTTTTACATTTTCCTTGGAGACATTTACTTTTGTTTGGAAAGATTATCTTGGGTTGTTTCTTGGAGTTTAATCATTTTTATTGCCCTTTTCCTCTTTGATCTTATTTCACAAAGCAAGACTATCATACTTTATCACCGACATTTTTACAAACACCAATTTTATGGCATTGCTTCCCTTTACAATAAGACGCATGTGTTCTGCAGTTTCTGATAAAGCATAGGTTTGTTTAACCCGTATGTGCTTGAAATGCGGACATCATGTGCTCAGAAAGGGCACTAATGAAACAAGAAGTATATTATTATCATTCCAACAGAACCTATATGACATTTTCTTGCCTGTGATGGAAGAAGGTCTTGACATGTTTTTATGTGAAGTCCACACAACAGAAGGCTAAAATCTGTGACGATTAGCACTTGCCAGCTTCAGAGTTGTGTGTACAGTCAGATGTTACAGTTGCAGCGCTGGGAAGTGCTTGCTCATCACGCAGGGAATAACTCACCAAGTGTCAGCGTCGCATTCTCAACGCTGAGAGCGTGGCAATGCAAACCTATAGTATCGTTTTTTATAACGTATATGTTAAAATTGCTTTAAATGATGATTTTAAGTTATTAAAGTTTTTCCAGGATATCTACCTAAAGTAATCACTTCGGATTCAATTTTATTTTCCTCTGCGGAAAGAATTAGAAAAGTACAAGTCTATAGTGAATGAAGTCTCACGTGTTTCTCTCCTGTTATGAAGGCTATTCAGTTGGAGCTGGTCATTTTCGAAGTCCACATACGACTGAAGTCGTAGGAGGAGCCCCTCAACATGAACAGATAGGAAAAGTGAGACTTTTTTTTCTCTTTGTTTCTTCACAAAGTCTTGAATGGATTACGTGAATCGGGCATTAAAGGGAAGCCATAAACATTTTCATGAATATAAGATTACAACGATGAGCAATGCATTGCATCGGTTGAATTTATGTAAAATATATTTATAGTCATCAAAGAGATTGAGTTGGAAACCTTTCGAGGACATCGTATAACTTAAGTGGGGCTTGACTCTGAGTAAATTGCTTATAAAGTATAATTATCTGTGGATGCCCAGAGAATGCGGTTTTGGTTATTATTTAGTAAAAGGGAATTGAGACAGGTAATGCTGCATGGTAAGACAAAAAAGAACAGACATTCTCTAGGATAATTCCAGTTCTATATTTTTCTGCATTGCCATGTGAACATTGGCGCTGCGTTTTTTGGCAAATCTTTTTCTGTGCTTTCTCTGTGGTACCCAAAAGTAAATTCCTCAGAGGAGAGTGTTGCAAATCAGGCTTACTAATATGAATATTTTCATACCACTTTTAAAATTTGTAGCATTAATAATTGCATTAAAAATTTAATATTTTTATATTTGTCCAATTATGTATTATACACAAATTGATGTTTCAATTAAACAAATTAGTTTTTTTTAAATCTGCTAAGGAAGTAAACGTTTTGAATTCTTCCCCCACTCGCAGGCATATATATTCAGCATCAATGAAAAGGAGTTGAGCATCATCCATGAAATGAAAGGTAAAAAGGTAAATATGTCTCTGCCTCTGGGGTCGCTGAGAGCTTCAGTGGATAATGCTGTCTTCTCATTGCGCATGTGCTCTGCTTTGGAACAGCTCGGCTCATACTTCGGAGCGTCTCTCTGCGCAGTGGACCTCAACGCAGATGGCTTCTCAGATCTCCTTGTGGGGGCTCCCATGCAGAGCACCATCAGAGAGGAAGGGAGAGTATTCGTATACATCAACTCTGGCTTGGTATGTCTGAGCGTCTCCACTCTGGAAGACACTTATGAATCATAATTCATATTGAAATTGCTCTTCTTTCAGTGTTCTGAGATTATCGATTGTTTTTGAAATTGATGTATGCGTTGGTGGGTGTGTGCAAACTCATGATGTATGTGCATGCATCTCTGCGCATGCTGTGGTACATACATGAATGTCAAAGGCAATCAGTTTCCTCTTACTTCATGTTTCTGGGACCCAGCTCAGGTCAAGAGATTTGGACAGGAAGCACTTCTATTCACTGAGCAATCTTGCCGGGTCAAAGGTAGTCTTAAGTTCTTCTGATGGACCAAAGTGAAACTTCTACTGCCATACTGATGTTCTGAAACCGGAACAGAGCGTGGCAGTGAGCAGCTGTTCCAGAAACAGGAGACTCAGCACAATGGGGTTTCTATACACTGGTGTGTCAGCTCACTCTACTAACTGTAATTTCCTTTAGCTTAATTTTGGCACAAGTAAAATTTGGAAGCATGATTTGTGTAGATACTTCAAAATAGATTTTTATGTACTTCAATAATTATGGTCCTTACATAATTTAGCAAATTGTAAAATGTTTGCTGTTAGGAATAGATGAAGCAGTCAATGTTTTTAACATCTTGACTTGCAAACAGGAATCAGGCACATTGATAAAATATTATTTCACAGTTCATGTGGGCTATATCCTGAAAATAGTCTGAGACTGGCATCATTTATTCTGAAGTGGATACATTGTTAAATTAGATCATTACTGACTATTGCTCAACTTTAAGTCATGGGCACTGATGGTAGTGGAAACAGGTGACTTGATTCATTCTGCAGAGTTCTGGCTTTCTCTGGACAGCCTGGCTTCTTGATGCTCAATCAAGCAAAGATTGGACACTTAGTGATGCCTTCTTTGTTCCTTTGGTTTGAAAATAAGATCAGGTTTCACGTCTTTGGGACACAGCATGTTTTAGTTCAGAATTTTCAACATGTGCTTGTAACCTTGTTAACAGAGAATTTGATCAAGTTCTCATTTCAGACATAAACCAAACTCTATACGATGCACGTGAGAAGGCTCCCAGTGGAGTGAGGATAGAAGCGTGTCTACGTTCTAGATCTAGACTAGATCTGGGATGAGGATTGAAGTGTGTTTATGTTCTAAATCTAAACTAGAGCTGCACAGGCAGAGATTTGCTAGACGTTCTTTAAACTAAAATGCATTCTATAAAAGGCATATTATTGTCTGGACAGTGATCTCTTGGATAGCACTAATATCAGCACACAAACAGTGTTACACCACATGCCCCGCCCCTCCCCATCCACAGACATCCTTCCTTGTGTTTATTAGATCCGTATTCCGTACGTGTCTCTCATTGGTCCCCTGTGACAAATACCCGGGAAGTTTCTCTTAACAAGGAGTTTAAAAACAAGTAGTTTGACAGTAAGAACCATCCAGAAAGTAAAGGACCATTCCCCCACCAAAACCGTAGACCATCCCACTATGAGGACAGGTGAAGGAGATGCTCAGAGAGCAAAGAAAGAGCCTGTGCCCTAGCCTACCCTCCCCACTTCCCTTTGGCTTACCCAGAAGCACTGTTGCTGGGTGCTGGGATCAGTTTAGTGATTGACTTCCATTTTTAAATCCTGCAGTGTGGATTTCTCTTCCTTTCTTCACATTTGACCTATTTCTAAACTCTCTGAAATGGCACCAGACACTAAGAAGTGTAATATTTTCTTTACCTGGTTTACTCTTGCCTGTGCTAGCTTGGGAGAACAAGCATCTGTTTTGTTTACCCTTTTTTTTTCTTTTCTATGAGTTCTAGACAGTCAGGCCCGCCAGAATTATTTTCAATGAACTGAAAGAAAGAAGATTACTTAAATGCCTTGGGTTTTGACCTAATCTACTAAATAGCTCTCAGGGGTCCCCAGTGAGTACTTGGTCACCATTCTCAATGACTGTAGAATACTTGAACAAGAGCAATCACCACTTCCCCTGAAATTCCTCTGAAACAGCGTTGTCTTGAGGTTATACGCCATTTGTCTTCTCTGAAGCCCTGCCTCCCTTCCGTTTATCATTTCCTAGGGAGCGGTTTAATCCCATGTCATGTTGCATGTGATTGTATCTATAGAGATAAATTCCAAAGTTTTAACTCATTAAAAAAAAGTGATTGTTAGTGAGAATCTCTAATGAAACATAGTATGGGGGAAAAAACTGACGATAATCCCAGCTGTTTCCCCAGAACTTCGAGACTGGGTGAAATGTCAGCCGTGGGGGAAGTCTCTGGAAAGCTGCATGGCAAATGGCGGGTGATAAATATGGGAAAAGTAGGCGTGGTTTACTTTGGGCCAAAAATATTTCAAGGAAAAAGTGGTATTTGAGAAAGAATCAAATAGGAATTTCCGATTATGAAAGAAACGGTGAAGGACACTTGGCCAAGTGTAGACTGTGTGCTTGTGGGGTGAAGGAGAGATGTCCCTGGGAAGAGGCTGCGGTCTATGAGCAGCATGAGGAATTTGTTCTAAAGCGTGGCACTGAGCTGATCAGAGCTCATTATTACTGCATCATGAACGTAACTTGTATGGAATTACACATATTCTATGTAACAACTAACTTTCAGCATCCGAGATACCAGTTGACCAATGCATTGCTGCTAGGATACATTTCTAAAGGCCATCTCAAGTAAGGTCACTCTTTATTAAGAGGCCTCTCAGGGCTTCTTATTGTTGACTTCAGAAAGTAAATTTTCCTTTTAATCAAATTGCTATAGACTGTAGGATAACAATTTGGCTTTGTTCTCTTGTTGATTATATACACACTGCTCATATATGTAAGTGATTTGCTGATCACTTTTTCTGTATATCTAAACCACACCTTCCCTGCAGCAGCCTTGCATGGACACTTTATGAAGTCTCTCTCAGGTCATCTTTTTCTTTCCCTCTTCCTTATTGGAATTCCTTCCTTGCTTCAGTTAGAATTATCTTCCTTTCTTCTCAATGAGTGTGGAACAATTTGTACTTCTGAGTCATGTACATGCTGGTGTTAAGCCCTCCTTGTAGCCGTGGCTCATGGAGGAAACAGCGTTTTAAAAACACTCTTCCTAGACCCCCTTTACCTGCTCGCTCTGCACAGTGCATTGTCTTTAGCAAGGGCTCAATAAATATTTGTTAAATTGAATTATCAAAATGATTTATTGGATTTTTCAAAGCTAAGGATCATGAGCTAGACAATTTTCTATGTCCTTTGAGTTCTAATCATGCTATTATATGTGTTGACTTAATAAATATTTATTGAATTGAACTGAGATGTATGTTCTAAAGCTCAATTCGTGGTTTGATGCATTAGAAAAATCCATATCCAATTATAGCAGTAAATCATGTGTAAAGTTGTCAGGAGTTGTATAATGACACCTTCTCTCTCTCTACCTAGGGAGCTGTAATGAATGAGATGGAAACAGTGCTCACTGGGAGTGACAAATATTCTGCAAGATTTGGGGAATCTATAGCAAATCTTGGTGATCTTGACAATGATGGCTTTGAAGGTAAAATCTCTAATTAAAATCTCTAATTTTGGACTTGATTTCCACATTTAAAATTGTTCGGGGAAGAGAACATGATGATGGTTCTGTAAAGTTTGCCTGCTGAAAGTGGGGCCAGACGGTATGCTGTCTTGTTTTCTGCCCTGTCGGGTCAGTTGTAACTGCCCGTTATTGATCTTTGCCGTGGTTGATAGAGAGTGATATTCAAAACATCTTGTTGATTCTAAAGATAGTTACTATTGATTATAATGCTTACACATCTCTAAAAGTTATATCTATCAAATTGTTATATGTATCATTTTTCTATTTTAAGAAGGATGCTTGTTTTAGAAAGAAAATATTAAGGGTATGTATCACTGGACAATAGCATTTAGCCTACCAGTACAGTTCAGAAACTGATCAAACCCAACTGAATCTGTTCCCAAACCTGAAGCACATTCCTGTGACCCCTGGAAGAACATCTTGTCTGGACAATGTTTTGTTATAGGATTTGGAAGAGTCCCAGAGAGAGTCTCAGACCACATTGTTGAGGAGTCGCTGTGAGAATCGGGGCAGTGGCTATCCACAAATTAATAATGAAGCATTTCCATGGTAAAATAAATGGCACTCTCTTAACCATGCATGCTGCTCCAGACATCAGTCTTGGTATAGAAACACCTGCCCTATGAGCAGCCCCTGTCGGTCTATCCCTGGGAGTTAATTGATTTGATAAAACTGTACATTTTGGACAAATATGTGTAAGAGGAGAGTGTGAAATTTCCCAGAGTGCAGTAATTTCTGACATTTTAGCAACTAAGTTCTTAGTAAATATTTTTATGGCTTATAATTCTGTTCTCTTCATACTATCATGATAATTAAAATAATTGTGTCCTCTTGATATTATCATTGATAATTACAACGTGGTTTATATTAAACAGCAGTCAAAATTACAACCATGGTTGTGACAACATTTCCAGACAATAATAAGCGATGTCATGAAAACAAACTATCATATGCTTTGGATTTCAGTTAAAATAATTAAAAACATTGCACAATTAGTGGATAAATTAATATACCTACATAGACTCATGTGGCATAATACTGAAGTGATCTTGTAGCTATGGAATGCCGTTTTTCTCCTTCATGATATATGTATTTACCTCACCTAAACAACAAGGTTCATCAGCATGTCTGTTACTCTTGTGTTTTTTCACATAAGATCATCATTTCTTTCTTCCAGTGTCATAATCCAATATGAACCACCATAAATTCCTCCTGTCATTATTTTTCAAAACAAGGCATTTTCTGAAATACGATTTGTATGTCTGTATATTCCCAATATATAACACTGGAAGGAGAATTGATTCATAAGTCATTTTAAAGGCATAGAAAAGTCTTAAAGCTCAAAACTAAAGTTCTTGTAGTTATATATATCATATTATAACCTGCCAGATGCTGTTATATGCAGGGATGCATCATATTGTTTCATATTAAGTATGCATCCTGCTGTGATCTCGTTCTGTGGTAGAGGAAACCAAGACACATGCTAAACACGGGGAGGGGAGGAACGGTGGTCCATGGAATTGCAGGGCGCAGCAGCAGAGCTGAGATGGGCCCCCAGAGGTATGACTGGAGCCCCTGTAAGCTTTACCATTGTGAAAAAGTGTCCTTCAAATCCACCCACGCTCTTATTTTCCATGAATAACCCTGAACGTTATGATGTTAGTGTTTTTTTTCCTGGCAGAGTGGTTGAGCTTCTGTGTAAGAGGGGTTTTTGTATTATGTCACATGCCTTTAGGGTCATAAAGGCTAGTTTTCAAAGATCATTCTTGGTATCAAGAATTTCTAAATTTTTTCTGTTTAAACCCAACAGATATTGCTATCGGTGCTCCACAAGAAGATGATTTGCGAGGTGCTATCTACATTTACAATGGCCGAGCAGATGGGATCTCACCCACCTACTCACAGGTAAGACAGGTCTTCCAAAGAGGCATTGCTTATTAACCTACACTTGCCACGTGACTGGTAATGTGGACTGCTTTTCTCTTTCCAATACTTCACATTTTATTTCACTATATAATATTGGTAAATGATCCTGTTTTAACTAACTCTCAGAACAATTTTCTCTAAGCCATTTATTTTCATAGAGTTCTATTTGACTCATATTCTTGCCCTTAGCCTAATACTCAAGTCTGTGTGTGTGAGATGTCGTATGTTTTCATAAGGCGCTGGCCATGCTTTTGCAAGCTTGCCTATTTGGACAGCAGCTGTAGTTTGTTGCAGCTAAAGCTTCACTCTTCACAGAGCTAGGCCGTGCTTCTTTCAGTGTACAGTAGGTAAACTGATAGCTTCTTAACACAATTTTATGACAACACTCTCATTTCACTTCTGTAACTTGAAAACTCAGGGCGTTTCGGTGCATTAAAAGACCTATGCTCAAATTCTGGGAAGAAAAGACTTTGCAAAGATTCACTAGCTCTATAGGCAAATGGACCTCTAAATTGAACAGAGAAGTTAGGTATGCATCATGTGAAAGATACTGAGATTTTCTCACTGTGAACAGCAACCATGTATTTCTGATTCAGCGTCCAGACATGGAGTGAAATGGATGGAACAGAGTGAGGGCAGGGGTATTCTTAAATGTTAGGAAGCAATCTTCCCAACCAGCAGACTTTCTTTTTTTAAAAAAATATTTATTCATTTATTATGTATACAATATTCTATACAGACCTCATTACAGATTATGTATACAATATTCTATACAGACCTCATTACAGGTTGTGAACCACCATGTGGTTGCTGGGAATTGAACTCAGGACCTTTGGAAGAGCAGGCAATGCTCTTAACCGCTGAGCTATCTCTCCAGCCCCCAGACTTTCATCATAAAACTAAATAGTAGGAACTGGTAAATAATAATAGTAATAATAGACATCTTATTTTCCAAATAATTTGTTTATTTATGTTGATTAAGGAAGCAAATTCAGAACTTGAAAAAATTCAAAGACAGGGAATAAGAATTGTTTTGGAAAAACTAAAAACTGTACTGTGAAATGTTGCCTTTTTCACAATATAAATCTTTAGTAATAAAATAGATTTCATCTCTATTTCAGTGTAGGAAATTTTGCCTCTTTTAAGGAGTTTGCTTAATCTAGAATGCATTTTGTGAGTTACTGTCTTCGAGAAAGCCTCAGAAGATCCATTACTTAACTAAGCTGACATCTTGTAATTATTAGCTATTCAATAACTATTTCCCGTCAAAATTACCCCCTCTTTTTTTTTTTTCAGAGAATCGAAGGACGTCAAATCAGTGAATCATTAAGGATGTTTGGACAATCTATCTCAGGACAAATTGATGCTGACAACAATGGATATGTTGGTGGGTAGAGACTGTGTTCAATTTCTGGACCAAAGCAAGCTCGTTTGCAGACGTTGTTTTATTGTGAACATGGAAAACCAATGTGTAGGGCTTCAGGTCACTTTTAATTCCATTTCTAAATGTTCAAGCTTTGGAGCTGAGCCTGAAATGATTAAGGGATTCATCAGTTTTATACTGTTAGTAACTGGATGGTAGGACGCTTGTTCTTGAGTGTTACTTAAGAAATCAAACATGCGATGAAAAGAACGGAGAAATCTGTTTTTCTAAAGACACGAGAGGAGCCTCCTGGATGAGGCTCACTCAAAGCATCACACGCCACTTGGCAGTGATGCCACACGTCCCTAGCATGCATTTTTTTTTGCTTCCTTGTGAAAGGATCACTACTGTCTCCAAGTGAATAGATTCAGGCAATTGGGGGAATGGATCTGAGGATGCTAGCTTGTCTTTTCCAGTTAATTTTCTGTAAATGATGTTTTGATATAGTCAAAAGGTGATACACAGTTAAGTATTTGTGGCTGCAAGGTAATTCCCTTTAACTAATGGTGATCATTAATCTTTGTTGGTTTTTTTTCCCCCTCCAGATGTAGCGGTTGGTGCTTTTCGGTCTGATTCTGCAGTGTTGCTAAGGTGAGGTGGATATGTGTGAAACTTGCTTACTGATGATCAGGCCTGATTGTAGATAGTGGGGGGCAGGTTTAAAAAGCAGTGGCTTTGTTGATGCTTTTTTAGGTATGCTTGAATTTTATTATTAAATTTTGGGGTATTTTTCTTACCTTCCTAGATTCAATTAAACAGACTATCTGATAAAGTCAATGCTTTTATATACTTAAATGAAAACTCTCGATCTGTACACAAACTATAAGCAAGCATGTATACACATACTACTGTGTAATTATTTAAATGGCATTGCTTGGTTGTTGGGAATGTAATTATTGTCTTAAGGTAAAATGATTCTCTAATTGATACTAATAATTTTATTGCCTTCTTAGGACAAGGCCTGTAGTGATTGTGGAAGCATCCTTAAGTCATCCCGAGTCAATAAATAGAACAATATTTGACTGCACTGAAAATGGACTTCCCTCTGTGTGCATGGATCTAACCCTCTGTTTCTCATATAAGGGCAAAGAAGTCCCAGGCTACATCAGTAAGTGTGTGCCACCAAACTAACGCCTCACTCGGGGAGTAAACTTGTGTTTGTTTGTTTGCCATGAGCAGTTGACAAGTTCCTTGGCAGAGAATAAATAATCTTTGGATTTATACCTCTTGCCCATCTTTTGTTTTTCAGTCCTCAAGTTGCTCCAATCAGTAAACGGGGCACATAGAAGATTTGGCACTTATGTTAAAAGGCTATGCCAGGGGCTTCACTTGCTGCTTTCGTTGAACCCTTTGTGCTTAACCTGGGAAATCTTCAGAATCAAAAGAGCTCTCTGCAGCTCTTCTGCTTGACAGGCTTCTCAGATGTTTTCATTGCCATCACTGCTCTTCTGACCGTGATGGAGACGGAACTGAGGGCGTTGGGGACACTGTCAGGTGCTGCACTACCGAGTTCCGTCCTCGGCTTTACTGAGCTCATAAACTTGGAGCTAGCGTATCTGGATAAATTTTGATATATATAATTTATATATTATATATAATTAATATATACTATATGTGTGTGTGTGTGTGTGTGTGTGTGTGTGTGTGCCACCATCAGCTCTGAGAATTGGGCCCCTTTTTTATATATAGGGAACTCTTAATTGTCTGCCATAGAGAATGTAACATTGATGTGGATCATCCTAGACGATAGTAAATCTGAACTCTAACACACACACACATATGCACACACACACAATATTAGAATAGTTACTAATAAAAGTGGCCCACAGTAAGTCATTTATATACCTGGAATGATCACAATTTGGCTATTAGTAATTTGAGAAATTGATGGTGCAATAACCTTATATGAAGATCACAGAGCCTGTCAAATACTCATTGAGCCAGACTTTGTATGTATGATAGAGATTCCAGTCTGAACAAGTTCGTCATGCAAAGGGCAGAATGAATGCAGCATCTGTACCTTATGAGACTCATTTTTAATAATGCTCTTGAAGAGCCCTGGCCAGAGCTGAAGTAATAAGAAGATGGGCAAACCCTCATCTGGTTATTGGCACCTGGGGAGTGTGACCCCAGAGTGAATTCCACATTAGCATAGACAAGCTGATGGATTATCTGAAAGATACACATGAATGGACGTGGCCGCGTCCTTGCTCTTCCAACTCCATGGCACTGGATATTTTTTCATCATGTCTGAAAGCAAATATACAGAACTCATGAATAGTCACAATGTTCTTGTAAAACACGTTTTATTGTCATGAAAAGAGTCCTCGTTAAGAAAAAAACACACAGTAGGGTTGCTTGATGAAGCCCAGGTGCTTTGCCTATTGAAGGGAAAAGGGTTTTATTTCCCTCTTTGTGTTACCTTTGCTTGAACTCAGGTGACGCATGTATAGATAGATCCCTCATTGTAGCTCTCACTTGCTCTCTAGGTTAAGTTACAATTATTGAAATTTTAAAGTCAATTGATTTGGGATTTATTTTCTAATTAAATGATGGTTGAAAGATTGATTTGGAAAGAAATGTAAGAACAATACAGGTCTTATGCTCATGTAGCCTTGAGATGAGAGGGTAAAATTCTTTCAGAAATGGAAGCTGATTTTATAAACGAATGCTGCAGGATGTATATAAATCCTTTAGAATTTCACTTACACATCCTTACTCCTGTGTAGTGAAGGCATCTCAGTAGAGGGCTGCGCTCCACTCCCTCTGTAGAGGACTTGCTTAGATGCTGGAAGTGGGGCTCACTTCCTTGCTGGAATCTGCGTTGATGATTTTAAGGCACTTCTAATCCTCCATTTCTTCCCCATCTCATCTGAGGTCCTTTTTTTGCAGCTAAATATTTAGTATGTCAGATTTGAAATCAGCCCTTCAAACCAGTAGTATAGTCGAGAGAAAGCTCATGTACTTTTGCTTCTGCACAGACTAACTCTAGAGGGTCAGACTATGAGTCATAGAGGATGAGTAGTTGGGATTGAAAGGAAGGTGATTGTTTCTTATAAAGGTGTAGCTTATGACCTGTATTTTCATTTTATATAGGAAAATTAAAAATATCAAGCGTACAAACAAAAAGCTGAAATAAGTGAACCTTACTGTATTTCAAGTTAGCCTTGTAATCACACAAGATGGACTCATCTCTGAGCATTGGAGCTCAAAGCTCTATCTGTAATTCTGTTACCAGGTGCTATGTAGACAAACGTGACCAAAGGCTTGTGTTATTAGTAATGATTTTGACAGTATGTTTTACACATTCTTATATGTGAAAGGCTTAAGCAAATAAGTAAAGATGTTAATAATGAAAACTTGAAAAGACTTTAATAAATCATTCTTTATTTTATTAAAAACAGTTTTTGAAGGTGTATTTTTATGTTTTTGATATCAGTTTAACTGTGTAAAAAATAACCTAATGAAAGAACGTGAGGTGTTTCCAGTGTGGCATGTCACTGTTACCATCCCAGCACCTTGAACGTGTGTACTAATCCGGTTCTTCCCGGTTTGCAGTTTTGTTTTACAACGTGAGCTTGGATGTGCACAGAAAGGCAGAGACACCAGCAAGGTTTTACTTCTTCTCTAATGGAACTTCAGACATGATCACAGGAAGCGTGGGGGTTTCGAGCAGTGGAGAGAAGTGTAGGACACACCAGGCATTCATGCGGGTAAGGAAAGCTTCTTATCATGAAATATTGATGTCCATACTGTCCACACGGAAGCAACTTACTGTATAATGTGTGTTTATGGACTGCTAGCTTCCTGTCCCCATCAACACATCAAGCAATTTCATCCTAGAGGACGTAGAGTCCACTTCCTGATGCATCTTAGTCTCTGTGCCTGTTTCCTTGTGTCTAGAGACTTACTTCCCCCTACAGTAGCTTTTCCCTGTCCTCTTTACCCACCTGCTTGCGAACATACCTGGGTTATTCTGCTGGGCCTCAGCTTTTCTCTGTGGTGTGTTTGGGGTGACATGTCGGTTTGTCTTCCATGACCCCAGTTAGGAAGAAGGCAGCATGAATGCATCTGGATTCTTCGTTTCTGCTGCAGCTCTGCTGGGGTGCCAGGGGGAGCTTTACACTTGCAGTATGGTGGGGCTCGTCTGTGGATCAGTGTGGCAGCTCTCACCACGGCTTGGGAGATATTTATGCCAGAGCACAGTGGATTTCATGCTTCTTTTATTAAAATCCTCATTCCCAAATTGAGCATCAAGCTCCTCACATTGGTTAAATTTTAGCATATGAAGCTGTGCCAGGTTTTTTTCATTAGAGAACCATGCACTTCATCAGAAAATCTGTTGCCACAAGAAAACCAAACTATTCCTAAGAGTCCTTTTTTGGGGGATTTGAAATAGTAGCCCCAGCTTGGAACTTAATTTTCCCTCAGATGCTTATTCCAGGAATAGGCAAACAAGCACAGAGACGGGTGCACTGTGCTCTGCGGAGAGCGTGAGTCCCCAAGCCGTTTCCCCACAGCCCTTCGCAGGGTTTGCTCCGCTAGAGTAAAGCTACCAAGAGCCAAACACAGAGGACGATGTTAATGTAGCCATCAGCGGTGTGGTGGGGATTCGGAGGCTCTTTCATTTTCTTCCTTCACAGGTGTGTTTTGTCTTGTATTAGTCAGTGACAGAACTGCTGAGGCCATTTTCAGTGCAACGTGAGGACCAGCATTAGAGGTGCTCAAGGAAACAGGTTGTGTTTAAGTTGTAAAAATAGCAACAAATGGAGTTGGTTTATTTAGCCCTGTTCCCTGGCATTATTCCTACGAATAAGAGATCGTCCAAATTGTACATTTTCTTCCGAGCACATTTGGAGGAGAATTACACTTTTTAGAGGTTTCCATGCTCTGTTGTATGTATCCTTGCAGAGATACCATGGCTTTTGTGATAATAGGGTGCACTGTTGACTTTGGGCCCTATCATGAATGTTCTATTCATTATTATTATTATTATTATTATTATTATTATTATTATTATTATTATTAAATTTTCACAAGGCTAGAGAGCAATGACAGTCTGCTAGGGAGATTCTCCAGCACATAATGGCATCCCAAGCCCTATACTACAGTGATCTGCCTGGCTCTTCTGTCCCTTAAAGATGTCTAATATAAGAAATTGACTTAGACCCCTTAAAAGGAAATGTACTGATACTTCTTGATATTGTATTCAGGGGACTGGAGATGTGACTCAGCCTGTTGATCTCCCAAAGACCTGAGTTTATTTCCAAGTATACGTATTAGTTAGTTTATAATTGCCTGGAACTAGTTCCAGGGGATTTGACCTTTTCTGGTCTG